GCCCTTGTGCTCCAGGTACAGAAGGCTGTAGACCGCGTAGCAGCCCAGGAGTGGGAAGAGGATCCACGACAGGTACCGAAATGCCATCTGTGGGGCACAGGGTGGGGTTGGAACCCCACTTCTCGGGCCCCACCTGGCACCCCTGCCTCACCCTCCCACACCTGGTCTGGCCGGCCAGCCTAGGGGAATTTCCAGGTTGCTCTGGGAACTTTGGATTCAGACAGGAAGTATACACGGCAGGTGGACGCTAGAGGGTGTGACACAGGCCATGAAGGGTAGACCCGTCAGTTCGGGGGCAGATGCCTTGTCTCCCTCCACCACCCCGACAACTGCCCATCCCTCGGGCCCCCAGGAGCGTGTGGTGCTTGGAAACCCTAGAGGATACTCACATCATCGTACACTTTCGTCGAGGACTCGATGTACGTGGACTTGTCTTTGAAGGTGGGGCGGGGGAAGAGTCCTGCCACCTTGTGCTCCCGGTCCAGCTTCAGGCAGGGAGGGAGGCCATGGTCAGCTGCCGTTCCCCCTGCCGGCTCTAGTCCCTGCCCTGCCCCACTGTTCCCAGTTCCCCTGCCCCACATGTGACCTGAAAAATCCCCTGGTGCGAAAATCCCCTTGGTCCTGGGAGTGCAGCCGGCACTGGGAAACACCCGGGGCCAGATCCAGGGTCCAGCTGACCGCACAGTCCCCCTCCCAACCCCTGGCAGCCCCCAAAACAGCATGGCCGCCCAGCCTTACCCGGACATCCATGACCTTGGTGATCTTCCAGAGGTCAATGAGGACCCCGATGAAGACGCTGACCTGGACCACGAAGTTGGTCTCATTGTCCAGGATATAGAGGAGGACCACGAAAGACTGGAAAACTCCAAAGAAGACGGAGCGCACGGACAGGCCCTCCAGGGACTGCCGGCTGTTCCAGAACTGGATATCTGTGCACGGGAGTTAGGGGGAAGCCAGGAAGTTGAACTGAGTCCTTCCCGCAGCTCCCTCAGGCCCCACTCTCCTCAGACCCCAGGGGAGGTGCTGGGTCACCAAGGGGGAGGGGTGCACAGGACCCCCTCCCACAAAGAGCCTCTGCTTCTCAGGTGCCACCTGAGCACTGTACAGGCAGGACCTCTGCAGCCCTCACAGCTGACACCGGCCCCCAGAACGCAGTCCCTCAACTGGTGACAGTGACTGCTGCCAGGTCCTAAGTGCTCACCACATCCAGGTGCTAAGGGCTGGTCAGAGAAGCCACTTCCCTGTGGCCTCACAGCCTGGCCTGGCAGCATCTGGCCGGAAGCTGGGTCTTTGTGACACCAGACCTGGGCTGTCCACCCTGGTGCCAGGCACCTCCCCTGGTTGGGAAGACCTGGGACACGTGCTTCAAAGCCATCTCCTCCAGCCCACTGCCCTGAAACCGCGCGGGAAGTGGCCCACAGCCACCTAGGTACACACAAGGGCCCCGTGCTCAGGTCTCCAATCAGCCCCTTCTGATGCTGTTCCTGGACCCAGCCCGTGGGGCCCAGGTCAGCCCTCTCTGAGCCCGGGGCTCCCCGTAGCTGAACAGGGATGACAGCACTGGTGGATCCCGCCTGTGTTGAGGGTTTAAGACCCGCAGCCACAGGAGGCCACCGCCACAATGCCTGCTTTACAGAGGCGGCCAGCCGTGGTCACACAGGGCCGGCTTTGCACTGAGCCCTGGCCATCCACCTGCTCTGGTTCTGATTCTGGAGCTCCAACACACTCGGCAGGCTCCTCCATCCCCCATCAGACCCTGAGATTTAAAAGGGAAATTCACAGAAACCCCCCAATCCTGACCAGGGAGAATGGGTCTGGAGACGGGGTTCTGGTGGGGGTGAAGGGATCCAAGTCCTGTCCTGGCCCAGGGAGGCAACAAACATGGGCAGTAAAGCTGGGCTCATCCAGGGCCCACTCCTGACGTGTGACCTTGGGCGAGTGACCGCCCACTCTGAGCCTTCGTTTCTCATCAGGAAGAGGGACCCCAGTCGACCCAGCTCCCAGTGAGCAGGAACGTTGGTGAGCCGGCACCTGACCAGGCACAGGAGTATTCCACAGGCTACAGCCGAGACCCCCTACCAGGGGTTGGCACTTACCGCTCAGTTCTGATGTTACAATCTTCAAAATGTAACTCTTGCCCTAACTGGTTTGGCTCAGTGGACAGAGCGTCGGCCTGCGGACTCAAGGGTCCCAGGTTCGATTCCGGTCAAGGGCATGTACCTTGGTTGCGGGCACATCCCCAGTAGGGAGTGTGCAGGAGGCAGCTGATCAATGTTTCTCTCTCATCGATGTTTCAAACTCTCTATCCCTCTCCCTTCCTCTGTAAAAAAATCAATAAAACCTATATTTAAAACAAACAAACAAACAAAAAAATGTGCTCAGGTGAGGATCAAAAAAAAGAAGTTCATTTTAAAAGTAACTCTTAATCTTGGAATATTGTCTTAATAATAGTAATATTTATTACTATTGCGCCTTCCAGAGCGGGCCTCCTTCAGATTGTGGGTCTCTAGGAAAGGAAGAAGTGGCCGCAGGGCCTAGGGGATGAAAGTGGGTGCTGGAGCCTGCTGCCTGGGCCCAAATCCTGGCTCTGCCAATTGGGAGCTGTGTGACTGCAGGCAAATTACCTAACCTCCCTGAGCCTCTGCTTCATCGTAAGCATGGAGGCAACAACAGGCTTCCTCATGGGGCTGGGGCTGTGAGGACTCAATGAGCTAACTAATGCGAGCACTCAGAACAGTGCCTGCCCCATGGCCAGCCCCCCCAGACCCTGGCCATTGCCACTGTTGGCCTTTGGAACGTAGGGACCTTCTGGGGACTGAGCTGTCACCTTCCCATTCGGGTGGGCCCCATCCACTCCACCCTGAGGGGCCTTTCCCAGCAGGCAACCTGCTGGGCAGGCTGATGGGAGCAGCTCTGGGGCTTCCCTGCTCTGGGCCTTGGAGTTCCCCAGCCCAGCCCCTCCTGTAGCACCACACCCAGTAGATGGAAGTTTCTGGACTGGGAGTTTTGGGGCCATCATCCTGGCCAGTTCACTAGGTCTTTGGAAAGTGGGGCTGAGAGACCCCCAGGTAGGGAGAGGACCTATGGGCGAAGAGGGAGAGAGAGGGGCCAGCCTCCTTTGGTACCCTCCCATCCCCAGCCCCCCATGGCCTCTCACAGGCCCCAGGGTCCCACCCCTACCGTTCTTGAAGGCCAGGAACTCAAAGACACTGTGGACGATGGACACGATGATGGTGAGAGCCAGCAGGTAGGGGTTGGTCTCTAGGAGGGCAACCTAGAGGTGGGGGGTGGGGGGAGATGCCTGTGAGCGCTGCCATGCCCTTGCTCTCCTCCTGGACTCCCAGAAGAACCTGCTCACAGACCTGACCCCCCAGGACTACCCATAGAGGGAGTGCGCATGATAGGCAGAGATGGACAGATGGACATGGAGAGGCAGGCAATGATGGAGAGAGAAAGAAACAGAAGAGAGGAGAGAGGCAGAGACACAGTGATGGGGAGAGAGGCAGAGTGACAGAGATAGATGAAGAGACAGTCGGAGGAACGGAAACCCAACATGAGAGACAATCCCAGGCAAGCACAGCCGAGTCTCAATGGCACAGACATAAGCAGAGAAAGATGGGACACCAGGAGTATTCAGGGACACAGTGACAGAGAGCAGAGACATCAAGTCAGAGCCCAAGTTGTGGGGAAACGGGCTATGGAACAAGATCAGGAAGGGGCGGTCCGGAAGGGACTCAGAAGGCCTGGCCAAAGAAGCAGAAAAGCTGAGACAGGAGGACCACAGAAGCCTCAGGGACGGGATCCCAGAGCCAGCGAGGGCTGCAGGAGGGGGGGCACCTGGGAGGTTGTGAAACTGGTCAGGGAGCACTGGCCGGAGGTCCCCAGGCCGCCAGCCTGGCCCACTTCCCCTTCCCCTCCTGCAGTCCAGGAGGGTGCTGGGAAGCCCCCGCCCCCACCTCACCTTCACCGAGTCCTGCTCCTCGTCTGACTGCTCGTACAGCTCATCACCCAGGAAGTTCCAGGGCGACTTGGTGCTCTGGGCGGCGTAGAGCTGCCAGCGCCAGAGAGAGAGGGGGCAGAAGGAGACGCGGAGCGGCAGGCTGGCCAGGCTCTCGTTGATGGGGTAGTAGTCCTTCTGCAGGTTCCAGTAATCGTTGAAGTAGATGATGGGGTAGTAGTCACCGCTCACGGCGTCGAATTTCACGTCTGCAGGCAAGTGGGGCAGAGGCACTGCTCAGCCTGGGCTGGAGCCACGGGCACCCGCAAGGGTGGGGAGACCCCTTAGGCCTCCAGAACAAAGGTGGGATATTCAGATGGGCCCCCTGACAGACACTGGAGGACAGGGGCAGGGAAGAAAGGGGAGTCTTCAGGCAGGGGTGGGGCAGGGGGAGAGCTTGGATAGATGGAGACAAGGAGAGCCAGAGGGGCTGGGGGTCTCACACTGGTCCAGGGGCGGAGGCACGCTGCCCTTCACCCACGGTGTGTGGTCGTCCACAATGTTGATGGTGATGTTGGGGTGCCAGTGGGAGATCACTTCTACAGGCCCATAGTCCTCGGCCCTCTGAGGGGAGACAGCGGGGTCATGGGGCTCAGAGGCACCTGCACCTGAAGGCTCCCGTGACAATCATGACAGCAGAAGAGCAGCCACTACAGTGACCATTGGCCAGCCACACACCAGCCTTACAGACCCACACCCTGGACCCCCAGCCACCTGGCGAGGGGAAACCCAGCCTGCAGATCTGGATGGGCCCATATGCCAGGCTGCAGAGAGCCCCGCGTGCAGCTCCACACTCACGGGGCGCCTGCCGGGACCACCGCACAGAGAGGAGGATTCCTGGCACCAGCACAGGTTAACACCCTGGCGCCCCCAGCCCACCTGGAAGAATGGGGGTGCTACTCTTGTCCGCTGGGCTCGGGGCCTGACTGCTTGGGTGTGAGTCCTGCCCTGCATTTCCTGGCTCTGACACTGTGGGCAAGTCTTCCCACTGAAAGGAGAATGGTAATGGGACCCCCCGCCCCCCGAATCCGCCCACTTCCTGAGAGGCAGCTCAGCTTCCTAGCCCCCTTTCCAGAGGGAAACGGAGGGTCAGAGAGGCGAGGAGACTTGACCAAGCCCCCACAGCAGCTCGGTGGTGGTGCCAGCTGAGAGCCCGCATGGCTGCTGGGCCGCGAACAGCCTGCCCCCAGGACCCAAGAGCTCTGCTCGTGTACCTTGATCATTTCTGGATCGGCTTCTGTCTCTCCTGTCAACAGGTTCTTGGTTTTCTGAAACCGCCGGCGCTTGTATTTGTTGATCACTGTGGAGGGGAACGGGGAGAAGGGGTGGATATGAGACCTGCTGGCACTGGGGGATCCAGACCCCTCTGCCTCCCAAGAGCTGCTCACTGGTCTCCTGGCTCCCACTACCCTACATGCCCAGTGGTGATAACGCTGACCGGCAGGCCGGAGCTGCCTGCCCTCTCAAACCTCAGTCCCACTTTCCCCATCTTTTCAGTGACACCAACAGCCACCAAATGACTCGCGACAGAATCACGGAGTCTTTCTGCTCCAGAACCTGCTGCGTGGGTCCCATCCGGCCCGTCCTCCAATCCAACCACAACGTCCACCTCCAGGCCCCATGGTGAGCCAGCCCCGGTGCCCCCTCCTGGATGACTATGGCCACCTCCTCACTGGCCTCCTGGGGCCGCCCTTGCCTCTTATGACCTTCTCTCTGCCGGGCAGCCAGCACTTCTTTTAAACCACGTATACGACCCTGCCCTCCTGCTATTTCCAAACCCCAGGCAGCTCCTGCGGCCCCAGCAGCGCACCTTCATGCCCCATGCTCACAGGCCCCACCGACCTCTCAGCCCTTACCCCTCCCACCCTCGATCTCCTCACTCCCCTCTCCTCACATGCGCCAGCCTGACCTGTACCCACCATGGCTGGGAGCTTCCTGGTGGCTCTTCTTACCCTCAAGTCCCTGGTTAAATGTCCCTCTTCCTAGGGCTTCCCTGTGCACCCCACTCAAGGAGGCCTCCAGTCAGCTCCTTGCATTGTGTATTCCCTTCACAACATCCCCTGCCTCCAATTCAACTGCCCATTGGTTTGTTTGCTGTCTCTCCCCGCAACCTGTCTGTGAGCCCCAGGAGGGGTGGGCCCATTTGGACACTGACACATCCTGCACGTCCTGGGCCCAGCGACGACCCTGGAATACACCAGAGTAAACAGGCGAGCTGCGGGCAGTTCAGGCCCGGAAGCCGGTGTGAGGAATCCTTTGGGGCTGTGAACCCCAGCCAAGAGCAGCCCTCACTTCTGCTTGCAGAGGCCAGGCTGGCCGCAGGCTCTCTGCCTCCCTGCCTTGAACCACGCCAAGACTTGCCAGGAGGAAGGGGCTGGTGCTTGCTCAGCTCCACCCAGCTTGGGTACTTTTCAGCTCTCCCTATCCCTGGACAAATGCAGCCTGCCCCTCCTGTGACTTCCCCATCTTGTCCCGGAGGGGCAGGGAGAGATGGGGAAACGGGGAGGGAGCTGGTCAAAAGCGGGAGCCTTACTCTCACACGAGCTAAGGGACGTTGGAAAGCGTTGTCACTTTCCGGCCGCGGTCCCTCTGGAGAATGCAGGGCCATTGTGAAGGGGCTCTGCGCTAGAGCCCAGCCAGAATGTGTCTGCACGTCACAGACACCCAAACCACCGGCCCGGATCCCTCGTATCCACTCAGAACCAGGGCTAGAGGCTTCTGAATTCCACACACAAGCTCACGTTCAAAAACATTTCCGGACGGGACGTAGGCTTTCGGCCCAGGGCCTGCTGCTCTGGCTGCAGCACCAATAGCAGCCCAGCACTTCTATCAACACAGGTGAGACCTTGCCCCACATCCAGGGGGTGCAGTAAACACCCAAGGGTGGGCATCCTGAAGAATGAATTCCGGGGGACACACTCCGCTACTGTTGCATTCCTGAGAGAGGCTGCCGCGGGAAGGGAGGAGCCGGGCCCAGCCGGGCTCCAGAGGCCTGGAGGAGGCACAGGAGAGAGGCTTTGGCTCCGGGGAGAACATTCTACAGCTTGGCAGCACCCACACGGACTATAATACAAGACGGACCTGGCTTCTGTGGGAGGAAAGAGCCACCTTTCCTCGGAGTTGAAGCTTCTAGAAGTGCAGCAGCCAGCATGGTGGTCACTGGCCACATGAGGCTGTGAGCACTGGCAGTGTGGCCGAGCGGGTGTGCTGTGAGTGCAAAACACACCAGCTTCTGAAACTCAGTGCAGAGGAAGAAAAGAATGTAAGGTAATCTCAGTGATTTTTTTATACTAACTACATGTTGAAATGACAATATGTTGACCTCAATAAAATTACTACTAATGTTAATTTTATAGTTTTAGGGGGTTTTGTGTGTGTGTGTGTGTGTGTGTTTAAAATGTATTTTATTGATTTTTCACAGAGAGGAAGGGAGAGGGACAGAGAGTTAGAAACATTGATGAAAGAGAAACATCGATCAGCCGCCTGCCGCTGGAGATGTGCCTGCAACCAAGGTACATGCCCTTGACCGGAATCGAACCCAGGACCCTTCAGTCCGAAGGCTGACACTCTATCCACTGAGCCAAACCGGTCAGGGCGTGTGTGTGTTTTTTATGTGGTCACTAGAAAACTTAAAATGACTCAGTGGCTGGCACTACATCTCTAGGGGACAGAGCTGCTCTGGAGGACTGAGTGCTGGCCCTATGCGGGGAGGGGGACTGTTCTGCTCCCACACTCTCATTCTCTGCCCTGGAATTGGGTGGCCAGCTCCAAGGGGTCCCAGCTGTGGGGCAAGCTTGGGTGATCCTGGGGGGCCTTCCAGGTCCACCGGCTGCAGACACCCGTCACAGGGACTGTGACACCACCTCACCACACAGCGACAAGGATCTCATTTACCAAAGGCAAACCCACAAAAATATGGCATCCATGAGGGTAAATGACATGCAAGCCAGCAGCCACCCGACTGGGTCTCATTCAAGGCAACCTCTGAGGCGGCAGGCACATCCACCCCAGACCCCTGCCAAGCCCCACTTTGGGGGACATGTTCTCCAGGACCGCCCCTGCAGGCCACACCTCCTCAGCGCACCTTCGCCCACATCTTCACAGGTCCCACTATGCGGAAAGCAGCGGGCTCAATGTCCACAGCGCCCGCTCACTGCACAGCGCTCGGTACACTTGGGGCACCGACTTTTTGTTCAATCCAGTGTAGGTAAGCTTTTTAACAATTTATTTTTTAATATATTTTATTGATTTTTTTACAGAGAGGAAGGGAGAGGGATAGAGAGTTAGAAACATCGATCAGCCGCCTCCTGTACATCTCCTACTGGGGATGTGCCCGCAACCAAGGTACATGCCCTTGACTGGAATCGAACCTGGGACCCTTCAGTCCGCAGGCCAACGCTCTATCCACTGAGCCAAACCAGTTTCGGCAAGGTAAACTTTTTAAATCATGTTTTATTGGGCTTATTTTTTAAATATATAAATTCTAAGAACATATCAAGACTGTCCAATCATGACTGTCCAATCACTTCCGGGGCTGCCAGCATGCCCCTAACACTTCCCTGATGACAATGACATCTCTGGGTGTGGAGGTGGAGGAGGGGCTGGGCTCTGAGACAAGGCCCCTTCCATGAGAAGGGCCACACCTCAGTGAGTCCAGTCACACTTACAGCTTAGGCAGGGAATAGTCCATCTACCCCTGACATTTTCCCTCATGTTTGAATTATCCTTCTATTTCCCCTAAGGCTGTCCTCACATTTCTAGTTCCAGTGTAACGCCTCATCCTCAACTTCTTAACTTCTGAAGAAAAATCAAAATGTGCTCAAAGACAAGCTCCCCAATTTAAACCTCCGCACTCCAGGAACGTAAGTGATTTAATCACTGGTTGCCCTAAAGCATTCTTTGTTTCTTTTCAAATGTGATGATGATTCTTCATACGTTTCCCTTCTCCATATGGGCACGTTGCTTTTAGAGTAGCAGTGGCCTAGCTCACAGTTGTGAGGCATGCAGCCCTGTGGGCTGAGCACACAGCAGTGGCTTCCAACCTTGTCTTGGCCATGCCCCACCTAAGCATCTCTAAAATCCTGATGCCCCCGTGACGTATAATTCTTATTATTCACAAAATGAATCCTAGTCGCGTGGAGGAAGCCTACAAGGCCATTAACTTGGTCTAAACAAGCTTCCAAAGAAGGTGACATCCATGAAAGAGAAAAATAAAAAAACGAAAGGACAGTTGAAGGACTGAGGAAGAAATCACTAAGAAATTGTTAAAATAATCACATGAAGTGATATGAAAAAATAGCAAATAAAGTTTTAGAACATATAATAGAGAACTGAAATGCACAAATGTCAAAATACATATTTATAGGCTGTATATGAGGCCCCTAGGACCATATGAAATGCAAACAG